TAGGCCCTGCAGTGGCAGGCTGGCGCAGCACTGAGCTGCAAAACCTTGAAACGGTCGTCAATTGCTGACAAAGGTACCTCTACGAGTTGCAGTGAGCTAAAGGTTTCTAGCTGTACATCCTTTTTGCCCACCTTCACCTTCATTGATTCCTCTGATTGCAAGCCAGTACTAACTAGGTCGAGGACACGCATTTGTAGAAAGTCGTGGAGCAGCCATTTGTAAGCGCCAACTTGAGGGCTACATTAACGAAGAGTGTTCTTAGGAACGTCTTTAGGTGAATCGTACTGGCGTAGCTCACATTATGTATGGGTGTCAAGAAGTTTGTGCGCCGAAGGGGCTTTAAGTTCACTGGCACCCCTCTAAAGTAGCCTTCCCTCCCAACACTCGTCACACTTCCCATCAACTAGTTTCAGCGTTGGGCAGCTTGGGCAGTGGAAATCAATCATCCCTGCCACACGCCCTGCCATGTCAGCTTACAAGAGCGAGAAGACGGGTGGACGCACCCCGAGGTCTGCAGCCGCCACATGGCATCTGTCCACACAGGCCTTCAATCACGGAATATGCAAGTCCGATCAGCCAGGGGAAGCTGAGCGGACTCCATATGAACCAGAGACAGATGATGAAGTGTAATGCATCCACAAGTGTTGGTCCGATGCGGCAAGAATCCATCGACAGCTTGGAGAGGCCTTTTACTGAATCCTGGCAGCTTGACAATGACTGGGACGATCAAAGCGAACCATCCGGGATGTTTGAAGGTGAGATACATTATGCAGTCTGGTGTATTGCCACTGTTCTGAGCCTGTGCCTTATGTTGATGCAAAAGAGGAGCTCAGTTGATGATGTCATGAGGAGGTTTCTGAGCTCGAGTCGATACACCTTGAATACTGGGGCAACGTCAGGATCAGTTGCAGATACTCTTGTTTCAAAAGTTATTTGGGCGCATTGTGAATGGGTGGCCTGTGAACGAAATGAAAGAAAATCAAACTCATGAGTCAACCGCTGAGATAATCCAGGGGCTCAAGGTTGTGCAAAAGTCTTTAGGCGCGGGCGATCTAGCACTGTACTGAGGAGATGGGGGGAAGCTGAAAAGTGACAAAATAATGCTCGTCAGCTTGTGCACAAGCGAAGTCAGAGTTAAAGAGTCAAACGATGTTGCTAAAGTGAGGAATCTATTCAACTGAAATTTTCAAAGGCAATCTGATGCCGGGGGAATGCAGGAACCAGCTTGAGAAGTGTGGTTCACTATAGGGCCTTACATCTTGGCAAGCAAGGCTCTCTTGTCGCCCAACTTAAGAGGCCAGGCTGCTTGTGTTGCGCAAACAGTTCAGCATGAATTCTTGCCCAAAAGCTAAAAGCTTGCTGAAGAATGAAGTCCTTTCTCAGCAGTGAAGACTTCGCTGATATTCCCTTTCCATGTCCCAGCTGGATACCTCATGTACACACTGGTCATGGAGGTGGTCGAGAAATCTTTCGGGGGGAGATTGCTCCTCACCAGGACCCCCCCAGACATCCGCCACTTTCAGAGCCAAGACGGGTCTGTGGTTGGGGAGTTGGTATTTTGGAGGGGCAATGGAAAGGACACTGTCCGACTTGTTCAAGTGAGCACACGCCTTACCCATGTGATCCAGAATACTTGTTTGTAGTTCAGCATAGGCTTTTTAGCTGTTCCTGGAAGAGGAAGGTGAGATACAAAGTGCAATCATCTCTGTGATGGCAGGCCAGCCTTGCTTAGCCCTATTGTTGAACAGCAAGAGTCTCTTTCCTTAGGAAAACGGCCCTGGTTGTTATCTTTTGCCGGTCATACATTTTTGGATCTTGTCGACCTCTCAGACCTTTCAACCCTTCAACAGTTTAAATCGCCTAAGGCGCCACCAACAGAGCATTCCGACATAGAAAAACCTTTCCCACAGATGTTTTTTTTTTTGCAGTCCAAGCTCAAGGTGGAGCGCCCCGGCATGCCGGGCCAGCCTGGCGCCAAGGTCTGCCGGTGGAGCGTGTTCCTGATGCTCGGCCCAGCCACAGACGCCCCCCATTACGTGCTGGAGCTCTCTGTGTCGCCCACCTTGATCTTTGTTTCGACCGACATGCTCCCCCGAAGGTGCGCGGAAATTGTGTTGCTGTCCACTTTAATTTACGGATTGGCGACTAAGGGAGCGCAACCTCAACTAAGCCTACTCTGGCTTAGTGAACAGACTAGAGTCGAGCGTTCCTTCTGTAAAGCGTCTGTAATCATGTGCTAGCTCTTCAAGTATTAGTCCCTCGTCTTACAAATGAGAGTCCAGGGTTGCAAAATTGACGTTAAGAGCTGCCGTGAAGCTATACTGCCCAGTCCGTGATGAGTGGACAGTCAGGAGGCAGTCCGCATAGTTCTTCCGTCTGGCCGCTACCATTTCTATGCCGTGATGACGTCACAATACTAATTAAAAAACCCCGCCGCCCTGCCAGAGATCTGGTCATGCACCAAGCCTACTTGGACGAAGTTTACGAGACGTCCGGAGCTCGCGAGATGCATTCGAAGATTTAAAAAGACGCGCGCTTTACTTACTACGACACGCCAAGCCTCTTTCTGCACGCCGTGCTCTCGCCAATCCACATCTGCCACGTGTACAACCTCGAGGAGAGGTTCACGGACGGCCACAGACCGGTCGTGACAGCGATGAAGGAATTAGTGGAGCCTTACGTGAGGACTGTGCTTGACAGCTGGATCAAGTGAGCCGCTGCTACTGCAAGGAATCAGCTCCTTATTCTTGGACCGATTTCGATTGTCGCTTCGATATAAGACCTTCTTGCCTTAAGCTGGCCGCACATATCTCATAAATACGTCCTTGTGGGCGGCTGTCCTTCGAGCGGATTTTGTGCAGACTCCATTGCGTTTTGGATACGGGCGATGCGATCTGATTCCTTCAAAGCGCCCACCTTTCTGAATGCGATTCAGAATCAAGACTTCCCTCTGTCTCTTCGCTCGGTGTTACCTAATGACAAGTTGTGGTCGTTGAGTGCCACTCCTCGGCGACCTCAAGATTCATGCGCCCCCACTCTTTTGCCACTGCCGCCGCTCTCTAGATATGTGCATTCGTGATTTGTAATTTGCCATTATTGGATTCCCGCAGGGTGGTGGAGGCACGTGCCGGGAACGTGCCAGACGAAGAGCAGGATGCCCTTTTCCTGCGCGATATGATCCTGCTGGACGGAAGCATCAAGAGGGATCCCGGAACGGCAGTGCTTCCCCGGACGCTGGGCCCGGAGCTAGGGGGCAAGATCGTGGATGCGCTTATCAGAGGTACAATCGCTTCAGGTTTCCACTTTTCCGTTCCAGTTTCCTCTGCTTGCGCACGCTGCGAACGCGTTTCAAGACGTCTTGACAATGCTGAAAGCTGCGGAGGTTCCGAAGAGGGTGCGTACCGCTTTAAAGAACGTTAACGGGTCAATTTGAATAGTATCCAAGCTCTGGGAATGCTCGGGCTTTCGACCGTCGTGTTAAGATAGAAATAGCAGCCTTGGAAAGGTCCCGTCCTTTGGAATGGTGGGCGACACAGGGCTTGCGAGATCGGACGTTGAGAATGGTAAACTGCGAAACAACGTCTGCAGTTCCTTACATGTTCCGCTACCTCAGTTTTCCAACGCGCCACCAGCTTGCTAGAATAAACTCTGCAGATGCCAGTGCTAACAGGCTTATCCGCGATTGGATACAAGGAAAACGGTGATCGGTGATGCCGGCAGCTGTGTATCTCCTCTCTTTGTTGTTACACCTGGTATTGTCGTCCATGTTTCTGCGTGGTTCAGGGATCTTTAACCGTTCGTGCCAGGTCGCACCTCTTGACTAAGCGCTCAACAGTTTCTGATTAACGGCGGTCTCTTCCTGTGGGGACTTGCTGCAATGGTTGAGAACCTCAGCTTTGCGACGCTAGAATCAGCTTTTTTTAAAGCCAGGAGCCTCCGCCAATGGACGGTCCTGAGGGCCGACTGGCCACCTGTAAAAAGTCTCGGTTTCCCGCGTTAGTCGAGGCGCCAATAGATGTTCAATAGAAAGAAAGTCAAGCTTTTGGTACAGGATATCTGCAAGTCGAAACGAATCAGCTTTCCCTTGGATTCTAGCCACTGACTATGCCTCGCTGGTAATCTGAATTAAGGCCATGTTTTCTACATAATCAACCAGGCTGGGACCGGTTGACAAAACTGGTGACTTCCCCTGGTCGAAAATATGTGTAACGTCTCCTAAGCCGGCCGTCAACCTGCTAATCAGTCTTGTAACTATTGCGGTCCGCAGGTGACCCGCGACAAGTGACACAGGCAGAGCACTACCAGCTCCAGCGGCCGCACTTCAGGCACTGGCTCGGTACGCGCACGTCGTGGGACGCAGCGACTGGGGAACTTATTGACAATTACGAGATATGGAGAAACGTTGAGGAGGTGGGGGCAGGAATCGATGGGGCCTTGAAGGTGCGAAGTCCAGCTTCACGTCGTTATTCATCTGATCGTGTCGAAGTCCGCCGTTCTATTTGATTCTCTTGAGAGGCATACGGCCAATTCTCCGTTTAGCCCGCCGTGACAAAGCGGGTGGCGTTCGGAGAGAGTGCGTGCTGAGACGCGAAAAGACCACTGATGAGTATATCTGCGCAATAAGCAGATTATGGGGACGTTTTAATCCTCAAACATCCCAGCACAACGGTTCTGAGAACCGCCTGTCTCGGAACCGCCTGTATACGTCGATGTTGAAAAGACGGTTCGTTTCTAAAAAACAATGTGTAAAGCCTTCCGCTTACTGAATCTGATGTAGAACAAAGGCAAGGCTGGAAACAATGGGCGGCTACATCGACTGTTAGATGTAAAATGTTGCGTGTCCGGGTTAGTTCCCAAGAGTCGTCGTGAGAGTATCCGCATGACTCGTCTGCTCGATTATCGCACCAGATTGGACCTAAAAATCAGTTTTTCAAGGGTCCCTTTTACGTCCATTTTGAAGGGCCTACAAGCGATGAAAGCTTCTGAAGACAAGGCTGCTTTCGCCTCAGCCACGGGCCCCTAACTTTTCCGAAAGGAATATCTCGTCCTCGTCACGTTCATGGGAGCAGGGAGAAAGTGAATGGAAGCCAGTCCGGTGCGTAGCTGTTTTAGGCCACTCAAATAGACCCTGTACTCCTTCTGATTCCCGACCAGGTCGTCCAAGTGAATACGCATCACGTGCCACCAGTCAGCGCTGCTTCAATGAATCAGGGACCCTTGGTGTCCAATTCGGACGTGCATCATGCGGACGGTGTCAGCAAGCATTCGAGCGACAGCTGGTCGCACTACGCGCCAGGTGAGGAACATCATACTTCGCTGGTTCCAGCATGGGCAGTACATCTAAACTCAACGCTGTGGGTTGATATACTCCTCTGAAATAACACCCAGGCTTGTGATGCTCTGGAGAGAATAGCTACGTGGAAGGTCCTGTAGAGGAGCGAGAACGGTTTGCTTTCCTCTAGCGCCAACTAGTCTTTGAGACAAAAGCCCGAAGCTTGACGAAGTTAGGGTGTCGTGCTGAATATGACCCAGTATTTTCTCAACCCGAGGGTTTGCGATCGCGTAGGCGTTCCGTTCACGAAGATCCCGGGAGACTGCGGGGAGCGCTTCCGCTTGGAATTCCTCTTTCTGGCGCCCGACAACCGGTCGCGCCTGGGACTGGCGATCGCTTACGACGCCCTGGGCAAAGCATCTCGGGTGGTAATGAACCGGGAGGTGGGCATATGCATCTTAACCAAGCCACAGTGGAGTGGTTTTGTGCGAACGGAAGCAAGAAGGGTTTTAGTAATCTGTGACGTCAGCATGCGTCGGAAAGGAAAGGCTCTATTTCGAGGCCGATGACGTCAAAGCTGATTCCGTCCGAGGTTTCTCGAAGTTGATGTTTACCTTCGTAATCACTCATCTGACTCAGGAGCCATCAGGATACAATGATTGCTTTCAGAAAGTTTGGAGTCAAGAAAATGAACTAAAGTGTTTCGAAGTTGAAAACAAACTACTAGGGCCGGTCTTTCCTAATTGTATCGATTCTGAAAGAATCGAACGAGCTGGGACGCTGTGAGAGCCCAGCAAAGCGTAGGCCCCTACAATGAGACTTGCCAGAGTTCTCTCTTTGCCAAGAGTTGCTATCAGCTTTTACTGACTCTAGCTATTTAAGTCCTGTCTGTGCTTTTGCCGCCATCAAGTGATATGGTTGACCAAAATGGAACTCCTTTCTAAATCATCTTAAAACACCGCCCATCGGACGGTCAGGCCTGCTTCAAAATGACTTTCACGTATGCTCTGGTTTTGAAGTCTAGGTCGATCTCGATCAAACGACTCGAATGACAGTCTAGTCTCTCCCGGAATCTGATCAAGTGCGACGATAATCTGGTGTTTCGTCTGCAGCTTAGGCCCTCTAAATCTGGGGCCACGGTTGAATCCAAGTGAGAAACGAGATTGCTGCTTGTTCTTCTTTGTCTTTAGTCAAGACTTGACCTTCTGCAGACTGTGTGGGGACAAGAAGACGAGCCCGTCATGCGGTGGTCGACGGTAAGCGAGGCATCAATGGAGCGGAATCGTCCACGTGGCAGGCTTACAGGCATCGAGCACACCCTTTCCCCCGACCTGTTGCGCTGGGAGACGGCCGGCGACTGGAAGGGCTACGAACACCCAGTCGGGTCGCCGCTCACCGGGAAGCAACTCTCGACGGGTGATTACGAGGTTATTCATTTCCCGGAAGGGTTAACGCTCTCCTTTCCGAAGTTTATTGAGACGGGGATGGGAGCTTTCCATCTTTCGGCACATTGGGCTCGCAGCGAGAGGTCGATGTACCAGCAGACGGCTACTTATGGAGCAGATGGCGCCTTCCACAGCTCCAGGAAGGCGTGTTACACGCAATGTACTTAAATGTGTCTGATGGCTTTTACGGCAGGTGTACATAAGAGCTAAGCCGTTCTAAACCAAAAACGAGGTAACATTTCGAAGAAAAGAGCGACACTTTACTTTGTGACCATAGGGTTTGCCTGATCTTTGCAGTGTGACCTTAGGATTTGCTGCGCCCTTTAGAAGAGGTTGACTCTCCCTTCTTAGTTGATTATGGACGGCGTCAAACTGATACTTACAACGTAGAATCATTATTGAAAGGTGATGAGTGATGCTAGCTTAGAGCAGATTTAAAGTTCGTTCAATGATGTTGTGTAGCTACAGTAGGGGGAATCAGAACAAATTCCCGCAGGCCGTACTCTGCGCCGGCGACCTAATGCAGATAGTACAGAACATGAGGCAACACCAAATTGAGATTATTTCTGTCTCTTATCTCTGCAAAGTACTAAGAGCAGGCTCTCAGTTGGTGCAAAACTTTGAGTCTGGCCGGGCACGTAACACTAATTGCAGTGCATTATGCATCTGTGCACAATCTGTCAACATGGAACACGTATATGATAGTGCTGCATGGCAGTCGATCGGGTGATCAAAGCGCTTCATCGAGCAATTAACATAATCAGACTCAGCACGATGTAGGTAGGTGGAATGGGTCGGCGCCCATATGGGGCCCCTGTTGCACCATGACAGAAGAAAGGTGAAAGAACCGGGCCATGCCATGATGCATCGCAGCCGATTGGCCCTGTGATACTTGAGGCGGCCGCCTCGATGAACTATCCCTGTACTACTGTAGCAACCTGAAGTCCTGCGGCGTAGCTAGCTGCTTCAGAGATCTAGCTCGTCATGCATTTCTATCGCACCGTTGCTTTATCCGAGGAGACCTAAGCATTGCATGCGCATGCGTACGGTGTAGTCGGCACCATCAGAATCCGTGCCAGAAAGAAAACCAAACTTGCTGAAGCAACTGAGTTATGATCGACATCCAGACATGCATATACTCGATCGCAACTTGAATTCAGCTATCGTCAGCTCGCACACATGACAGTCCTGTAATTTCTTCGTGACTTGCTAGCTTCCCGAGTGCGGCATCGTTGACGATCGAACGTGGCGCTGTAGACGGGAACGACGGCGCGACATCCGCGCTTTCTGACAGAGTAGCTTTCTGACTACTCGACAAGCTCCATGGCTCTGACTGCTTTAAGCGGGACGTCGTCTTGTAGCATCAAGCTTCTCAAAGGGCCGCTTTCATAAGGAGGACGCAGGTCAAAGGCTAGCCCAAGATGACTCCTGAATTGGGTTACCACGCCTCCATGAAAGGACTCTTATAGGGAAGAGCCGTCCGAACAATATCGAGCGAGGACGATTACAGACAAGGACCCAGAAGCGCATAGAGCCCCGACCACATCTACCGTAGCAAGAGGCGTGTAATGACGAGAAGGCGAACTGGGCGGAAAAAGCAGAAAGTTGAGAAACGAGGAGCGGACACAATGATGGGCGAGGAACGTGGCTGTTGGGACCTCTCGGCGCGGTCGGCGGAGCAGAAGCTGGGGCAGGCGATGCTGCATGACGTGGCCCCGCCTCGCTCCGCCGCGTGCGAGCTTCTGCTGCAGGCGTGCGAGGAGGGACCTGGAAGGTGGGCGGTGTTTGAGCTTCGTACGCCCGGAGAATGCTTTGAAATCGTTTGAATGTCCACCGGAAAGGAGTTTCAGTTGGAGTGGAGTTTTATTGGGCGGAATATTGGTTGGCGTGAGAGACGTGGAACACGGGATGGGTGGTGGTTTCGAATCTTTGAGATGGGCCATATCTGCATAATGAAGAGCGCATGCCTAATTGGTTCATCTGGCTTCCTGTTCTACGCTCGTCTGCCCGGGTTTCAAAATCACTGAATTTGTCGTTCAACGTGTCTAAGAGAGCGGTTCTCCTAATGACCATGGCTGGCCAAAACTCGAGTTATCTTTCTTCGGTTCCAGTAGAGACAAGGGAGCAACCAAGATGCACGGAGATCTGGCCTAGGTTCCTAGAATAAACAGTGCTTCATCTATAAACTATTGCTAAGCGCGCAATACTAGTCCAGACTCCCCAAGAACCTGATGCATCCACCTGGCAAAGGCCTCTGTCCTCCAGAAGACGTACGTTCTGTAATAGACTTATGAGATAATGCCACACAAATCTAAGTGGCACTCTCATAAAGGTGATCTACATCTGTGCAAAGACAAATATCCCATTCTCACAATTCCAAGCAGCAGAAACATCGAACCTAACAACGTCATTTTTCAACGGTCTTTTCGTTGCTTAAACACATTATTAAGCTCCTTCTCACCAGCAGCTGGGAAGTTTTCACAACGGTTGCAAAATAGCCGTCTAGAATTAGCTAATAGTGTTTCTTCCGAACGAAGAAACTTGTGATAGAGACCTGTTAACCACGCAGGTCGGGAGTCCCAACCAGGAACCGGTTGTCTCGGGCGGGAGTTCGCGGCCTGTACGAGCAGATGGTCGTGCAGAAGCAGCGGGCGGCGTCGCTGAAAGACCGGGTGGTTCTGGTCGGAAGGAGCGGAACCGGAAAAACTAGACTGGTGAGGCTTCAATTATGTCTTTTCTGAAATTCAGCCGGAGCTTAGATGGGTACGAATCAAGTCGTAATTGCAGAGGGATCATGTCGATCCGCTCGAAAGCGGTGACGGATCCGGATGCTGCCCCCTGTGGCGAGCATTCTAGAGGATCTCTTGAGGAGTCGAACGTCTTCTTGATTTAGCAGATCAGTCGCGGAAAAGAAAGTCGCCTTGATTCAACGCTCAGCGATGCACTGAATCATGAGATCCAGCGCTACGTGGTGCGCCCTTTCAATGTTCGACATATTGCCCCAATTTTGACCGCAGAGTAGAAATATATCAAAGATTCACGATTACAGGGTGGAACAATCAACGGCCTTGACCATTGGAAGCCTTCATTCGCACTTCGCAGATCAATGACATCTGCGAAGCGTCCGAGCCGGACGCGTCCGAGTACTGCGCGCGCGTCCAAGAGAAGATCGCGCAGATTGGCGAGTGGGACGAGCTCACGCTCGTCGACGCAGAGCCCCACGAGATCCCGCGCGCGGACACCGTCGCGGCCGCGCGCGCGGGGGACAGGGTCGAGGTTTACTTCCCGGAGAGCGACGAGTGGTGCGAGGGAGAGGTAGTCCGCGTCGAGCGGGCGAAGCACGTGGTGAGACGGGAACACGTGGCAGCTTTTGGTTGCTCGGTGTGGTTGGACTTCTGGGTATAGACGAGTTACTCCGTTTTGAAAGTCGCTGTTAGAGCAGAAGTTTGAGCGGACTAGGCCCGTGAGTATCAAGTTGGCGGCGCTATTACTTGCAGACAGATTATGTGCGCCCATTATTGGATTCTGCCAGATGTTCTGCAACAAAAGAAAGTGCCTGCAATCCCTTGACCTCTAGATGAACCGGGCACTCAAAATCACCCGGAAACCGTCAACGGCGCAGGTTAAGTTCCCCGGGGAAGCAGAACCGGCCACTTTGTCGCTTCGGGACCACGACGTTCCGGAAGCAAGCGGCGCCGGCGTCTGGGCACGCAAGATCTGGAACCTGCGCTTCGAGAGTGTAAGCATTTTCAACCGCTTATAAGTCCATCCGTCTCAAAGATAGTGATGGTCACTTACAAGAATGCTCTGAGCTCTTTCCTGATCCGAGACTTTGCCCACCTTTGTCCTCTTCCATTGACTTGATCAGACTTGCGGGTGCCATTTAGCATCAGTCACGCGGAATAGGGTCCGTTACGTGAATCACTCACCCTGCTTCGCACTATGTTTTATCTTCCGAGTGCCCTTTATGTCAGGTTGGAAGAACGTCAAGTTCACGAAAAGAACCGCCCTTTGAAGCCTCGGTCCTCCAGTGATTGTTCCGTTACCAACTTCTGTACGCTGACCTGTTCAGAGGCGCCCGGAACCAGAACCGGAAGTTCAAGGCAGCTTCTACTTGCTGCCGGAAGGAGACGTCTCAGACACGACCCAAGTCAAGTGCGAGATCACGGCGGGGCCGCGCGCGCGCGCGCGCATCTACTACGAGCCCATAGCCGCTGTAGCTGAGCCCATTCTCAGGTCGGAAAATACCCAAACAACTTATGAGGCTCGTCTTAAGCGTAGAAGAGAATGTTCCAAGGCATAAAAGCTTTGTTTCTTCGTTGGTCGTCTCTTGCTTAGAGTTGCTACGAGACCTGCGGTGGATTGTGGAATCTCTGAGAAGATGCAAATGCCCTCAATCTCGTTGTTGAAAGGACCCAGCGAGCGAAACTATTTAGGATTGTTTGCACAACGCGCCCTGATCTGGCGCGCAATCATTGTAAAACTGTAAAATCGTTCTTCTTTTGCGGAGTCTAGGAATCAACGCGTAATGCTAGACTCGCAAGAAACGCGTTCGTGCCAGTGGGACTAAAAAGCAAAAATCGACGTGAACAAACCTGAGCTGGCAAGCGATTGCAAAAACGTCGACTTTCTCACCTCTCACTTGTGCAGACTCAAAGATTTATGGAGAACGACAAAGTCGAATGACTCTCCACCCAGAGGAGCGCGCGCGCGCCCTTCGAAGAGGTCTCTCGTCGACATGTTGGATCTGGGCGCCAGCGACGGGGATGAGAATACGGCAGAGGACGGTGTGAATACGGACGAATGCGGTGCGAAAACGGCTGTCGAGGGCGGTGTGAATGCGGGCGAAGACGCGGAGATTGTACGGGAGCGGTGGCTGCAAACCGCACTGGCGCTTCTGGGGAAGCCTGTTAACACCCCCGTGTCAGACCTGGTCGAGGCGGACTTCGAGCTGCCCGCGCGGTGCCGCGCGCGGCTCAGCGCGGCCCCGCGCGCGGCTCAGCGCGGCCGGCAAGGTGAGCGCCACGTGTCTTAAACCTGCGGGTGTAGGTTTGGCTATAACCAAGTATGCGGTAACCTTCGCGCAGAACGAAGTTCTGAAATCATTATTGGGCAACGGATTTGGGAGTTCTTGATCGCTTGAGAACGCTGACGAGAAGAGAGAAGCTGACAATCATTGCGGGCTCACGGGGAGAAGCAAAGTTTTCTGCGTTTGATTGCAATTCTTGAATCCTTTCTTTGAAAATCCAGGCTTTCACTGTCTGAGGGCTGCTCGGCCCACCACGAAAACCGCAACCTTTCCGGTCCTTCCGGTCATTTCTGATCCATTGTCCGTTCGAAGACGAGAAAGAGCTGTTTGAGTCTCCCCAACTTCTAAAGTGTCGGGCCAGCGCGCGGCCCGTCTCTGCACAGTGGCAACTCTTCCATTGTGCTTTGAAAGCAATCAGAATAGGAAATCCGGTTCCGCAGGTCGAGATCTTCGCGCCCTGCCGGAGCACGTCCCCGGGCGGAACGGACGGCGACACGCTGTATACGGAGCACATATTCCGAATCCGCCACTTCGTCGCCTCGCGCACCTGGGGGTGCTACCTGCCCGGAGGAAGGGCGCGCAATGAGGTGGGCTCTTCTAGGTTTCGGTGCAGTGTTTTCTGACTCACTTTGATAGCTTCCGAATCAAAAATAATTCTGCAGAGGCATGCAGATATGTTGCCTTGTGCACACTCCGACGTTCTGAGCGGCTAAGCATTTCAGAAGGTCCCTATCACAGACAAATAGTCTCAGGACGTTTCGAGCAATGTGCCTCACGTTTATTGAGTTGGTAAGAGAGCGAGGCGAGGCGCGGGGATCGTAAATGACCGCTAGTGAAAGGCGACCGGTGCTCACAATCATCCCCAAGTCCTTTCAAACGGCCCTTAGTTGCTACCATTCTCCGGCCTCCCACAAAACTTCCGCTTTTTTGAGAATTGTCGAACCATCTAACTTCCGAGCCTCCGCTTCTCGCAGCCCCACTGGCGGCTGGTGCACAAGGTGGTGATCCAGCTCGCGGTCACGGCGGCGCTGCTGCATGACTTTGTCGACCTGCCCGGGGTGTCCAACGACGCGGGACCGTTTGGGGCAGACGCTTTAGAGGTAAGGAAACAATCGAGGCTTACATTCTCTCTTACTACATGCGGAGCGCAGAAGTCTGCATTTGCTGGGTACGAGGATGACAAGGGGCCAGAAGAATGGAACCGCCGTCGCAAGTCTCTGCTTTTGTCACTGGATGCAGTTTTTAGTGTTCAATGGTCAGTAATTTCCGTGCTTTACTCTTGTCATCTCTTAAAGTTTTACTACGTCACCAGGTCAGGAGAGGCGGAAACAGGGCTTTTTGAGTTCCGGAGCCGGAACCTCTCGTTTCTTTGTGGCAAAAGTTGCTCAGAGTGAAACGGGGTAAGAAAGGCTGCAATACCGCTCAAGTTCATTTCCCCTTGCTACAGGAAATGAGAGCTGCCCAGCACATTCTCGTCACGATGGACGCCCGGAAGGATCAGCAGGCAAGTCTTTCGGAAGTTCTCCCGATTTTCTCGAGGCGTATTGTTTCCGCTCCGGTTTTCAGCTCGACCTCCCCGATCGTACTGGAGGCCGCCTTCAGGTCTTCATTCTAGGAGATATACTGTTCCGCCGATTCGTGTGCGACCATTTTGGTCCCTTCTACCAAAGAACGGTTTGCAGGGTGGACATGTCTCTACAATAATCTAATCAAGCATTGACTCTTTGCACGGTCCCGATAGCTTATGTTCGGCGTCCCGCAGGCCGCCATCCGCCGCCTTGCCAAGACTCTCCTCATCTGCACCGGAGAGGAGGGCGACCAGGAAACCGCTATCCAGCAGAAGCCGGTCGCCGCGATCTGCGCGGGCGACCTGTGGTGGAAAGAGGAAAATGCGCGGGTCCACAGCACGGCCTTGGTGACTGGGTAAGTTTGTACGAGTCCAAATTCTGCGGCCCCAAGTTTTCTGCCTTCCTTTCTGTTTCCGAAGCCCACTTGCTCTGTGAGAATCACTTGGAGGACTCAAGTTTCTTGTAGAATATTTCACCAAGTTCACTTTTCTATATCCAGATTGCAACCTCTGCTCTGATGTTATTGTCGAGATGAAGAACTTTTGATGCATCATCCTCTCAGATATGCAAAGATTTTGAGAAGCCCAAAGAAGTAGCTCACTTTTTGACATTCCCTTGGTCTTCCAAGATGCAAGGATCTGATAAAGCAAACGAACTATGGGCTCTTGTTGGGCTCGCTCATGTTGTGATGCCTGCTCAGCAAGGGGCGGTCTTTGAGAGCCCTCGATGTTACAAATTCATGCTCAGCTTTTGTACAATCTGTACGATGGAAACCATCTCCGCCTCTGTTTGCGAAAATGCCAGATCGTAAAATCCAAAACAGAAACAGGGTCATTACAACAGAGCGGATCAAGACGTCTGATCCCAGCCCTTCATTCCGCCAGGCATGCGCACAACACTCAAGCGGAACGGAATATCCTTCAAGACGCAGAAAGGGACTGGGTTTCTGCTCGGCGGCTCGCCGTTGCGGCCGCGCTTGAGAACCTGCTGATCGCCCGGGAGAACCTGCCCCGGGGCCTGGCTGAGGAGAAAGCCCGGGAGATTGCCGCCCGGGTTACGTTCCTGGTTATCTACCCCGGTTTACTGTACCACCCCAAGTGCATCCGAATGTTCGGCCAGCAAATTCAATACCTGGTAAGGCGATGTAGCGGATCCCTTCGACTTTTTGCAGGCATGAAACCCCCGCAGAGTACATATACCTGGAGGCAAATTCCTTTTATCATACACTTTTATACAAAAGAATACTTACGACTGCATGGATTCAGCATGCTCATTTATTAAAGCCCATAGCAGTGTCTGAAGATACTACATCAACTTTGACTTTCCGCCATTTGGAAACACTTAAGCCGCACAGAGACGCAACTCAAATGGACAACTCACTCTGCCCTTTGCAACTTCGTGACGAGAGGTTCTTTTTCGTGTCTGTGTAACATGAATTATAAATCCAGTCACTTTGCGGGTCAACGGTCAGAGGATTTTCTGCCAAGGAAAGTCTGCTCTCAAAGCAGAATCCGAACATGATCGAACTTCAGATAGTAGCGGCCAAAGGTCTTCAAGATGCTTACCGAAGCTTCGTAAGATTTTGGCGATACGACTTCTCAAGCACTGATATGCAGATTTCAGATCAGCACGTTTTCCCTGCAGCCCATCTCGGAGGACGACTCCCGCATGCCCCAGCTCCAGGACTTCCTGCGCGAAGGCGGCCGCGGTGACCGGAGCCGCGAGGTGCGCGCGCTGGTCGCGCGCGCTCAAGAGCTGCTGGGCCGGTTTGAGGAGATGGGCGCGGGGATCTTCGCGCTCGCGCGCGCCGTCGTCCAGCCCAACAAGCTGCGCACGTTCAAGGACGCGCTCGCGCGCGCGAGCGCAACCAAAAAGCTCAAGCTGCCCAGGATGCCGGGGGCCGTGCTCGCGGGTGCGAAGGAGCGGCTGAGAGAAAGTTTGGACGAATCCGTTGAAGGTTGTACGGACCTCAGATGCGGACAGGAGGTGAGTTTGACAGGACAAACACCGCCTGAAACGAAGTGAGGCACCGAGCTATGAAAAGGACGTCGACGTGGGGAGGAAATGGGACGCTTTGTTTGAAAAGGCTGAACTGTGCTGCAGTCTGTCCTTCCGTCTGGATATTCTCTGTGATCGTCATCGGTCCAGTCATTGCAAAACGTAGTCAGTCCCGTTTGAAGATTTTCTCTCGGAATTTTCTAGCGGAGCCTTGTGCAACGTTGGTGGCTTGCAATGCTTCTGAGATCAAAATCGCAGACCAATTCACCGAGCAATGATGTTCAAAGGCCAATTGCAGCGTTCAATCGGTTTTTACCATAAAGCTCATTAAATATGCACACCGACTCGCCTCTGCTGACTCTTTGCAAAGCGTCCAGCTTCTAGCTGTCAATCCAGAAAGCATTGAAACCTTTCTGAAACTCCGCCGTCTCTTTCGCAGATCGCTCGGTTGGTGCCGCACAACTCCGACCAACCCGGCCGCGTACCCCCGTCTCGTTTCGAGGGGGACCTCCAGCAGGCGCTCGACAGCGGTCCCGTACCCCCCCTCCTGAACCACATGGAGTTCGAAGACGTCCACCTTCAAGACGTCATGATTGCGCCATTCCAGCTCCACCAGACGGAGAACCTCTACAGGGTTTTGGGCATCGCGGCCGCGGGCGGCGCGGCCGCGGACGGGGTTTGAGAACCGCCCACAAGCGGCCAATCGCGGACCAGCTCGCGGATTTTCTCGAAGGTTGCGCGAGCGCGCTCGTGCGCGGCGCCGCGGGCGCGCTGCAAGATCTGGGCCACGATGTGGAGACAGGGGGGTGCGATCTGCTGACTCAGGTAGGCGGACGCTTGAAGAAAGCGGGTGCATCTGCAGTCAGACCGTGTAAACCGTTTACGTTACATTGCAGACCAACTCCTCTTTTGTGAGTACCTGACCAACTATCAGTCAGACTCTTCGTTGCTTCTGCGTGCAAGAGATTGAACCTCGCACTGGATGGATTTGTGTTACTAAAACTTCTCCGTTCTGTGATACCGACATCAAGGGAGCTGAGTTTAGCCTGGTTCTTAACCCGCATCTCAAAAGCTACTCGGTGTGATGGTCTTGATAGTTTCCTGGTGCAATCAGGCGCTTGACCTTGACCCAGTGCATCCATCAAAAGAAAATACATTCCTTTCGCCTTTTTCCCCCTCAAATCAGTAATGTTGCATTGCGCTTCCCTATTTTCTTCCCCCTCGCTTCCCCTCAGTTGATCCGCTGCAACGTGGACGCCATCGTGGCCCGCCACGTGGGCGGCTTGCGCGCGACGCGCGTGTTCGAGGTGATTCGTCGCGCGGCGGAGCAGGAAACGGCCGCCGAGACCGCGCGCCTGTGCATCAGGCTGCAGCGCGGCAAGCAGAAGAGGTGGGGACAAACGGCGAGCGGGCAAAAGTCGAAGATGGCAGTGATCGAGTCTGCGGGTCGGCCGCTGGCAGCGATCGGCACCGAAATGGTAAGCGTAACGGAAAGCTCTGCTCGTCAAGCCTACAGTTGACGCCTTTCTCTCAAGATCCAGTTCTGTCACTTGTCAAAGTGACAGAAAAGTAAGGGGTCTGAAATCTGGTGATAGAAGCCTGGTATGAAGTTATATAGAAAATGCATAAGTCGAAGTCGTTTGGGCTGCAAATAGCTGGTATAACTTCAGAGCCCACTGGTGGAGAAAGTAATGTTAGATTGCGAATTCGTTCTCCCTTGGTGGTCCTTCCTGTCCTCATCTTGTATTTCCTCCACTTCTCCTTCTTATCGGTCCTTCATCGGATCCTACCTGCATCGCAAGTCCTATCGAGCCGCTATAAGAATTCAAAGCGGATAACGATTCCAACCCCATATGAAACCCCGCTTACTCCGCCGTTCTGTCCGCAGATTGTGGAGGGAATCGCGTCCCGGCTAAGGCAAGCGCTGTCTCATGTTACGGCCGACCTCCGGTCCCTCCTCCCCCGCCTAAACCTGCGCGAGCTGCACACCCTCATGAAGCGCGCGCACCTCGCCGCGCTCGCATCCCTGCTCGCGCGCGCCCAAAGTCTGCAGACAAGGCTTGGAGAAGTGCTTCTCATCGAAGAAGGTCTTGATGACGTGGGCACAGAGCACGATGACGTGGCAGAGTGGAGAGACTGGGGCGCCGGCGAGACGCGCGACCTCCTCGCGGCGCTCGAGCGCGCGGGGTTTGGGGGTTCAGACGAGAACCGAGCGAAGGTTCTGTGGGGGGTTCTGAGCTCGGAGGCGCGCGGCGCGGCTGCGGAGTGTTCCGCGAACGAAGCAATGGAGTACGTTCGACAGCTGGAGCGTTACTTCGGAAGCGCGGATGAGGGGGGACTGAAGTTCGCCCAGGGATGTTTTGCGGAAGCGGCGCGGGGAGAGCTGTCTGGGTCGGGGGATAGCCCCGGTCGCGAAAGAGTGCAGATGGGCCTCCCGGAGGAGTACGCGCGAGCGGACTCTGATCTGTTACGCTTGCTCAAGGTAAGGCATTTAAAAATGCTGGCTTATGATTAAGAGGAGTACGATACCTGCAAGAGTTTGGGAATTGACAAAGTGAAATGGACTTCTGATGTTCCCCGTCTTAAACAATTCGCGTGTCGTGCGTCTTTGGAAGGTTTACTTGTTAAGAGTAGGTTTCGAAACCGCAGAAGGGAAGGGATCCAGCAAAAGCTTATGGAGAACAGAGGAAACTGGTTCCCAAGCAGAATTCCTTACGTTAAACCGGCGACACTTTTGCCCTCTTACAAAACTCTCTCTCCTGGCTACATTCCGTACGGCAGAGTCAGGTTCACCTGTTCCTGGGACGTCTTCTCTCATTCAAATTACATCGTCGCCTACAAATCATTGAATTCGAGCGGGCTTTGAGCGGGGTTTCCAAGCGAGCCGAGTCTCGCAAAACATGTTGTGTCTTGAATCCGATTATGATTCCTGCCACTTGTGAGTTGACCAGAGCGGCTTCATCTCATACAGGCCATCAACCAGCTTCATCACCGGTTGAGTTCTTCCCCAAATCTTCGGGCCCACAAGGCCTCCGACCGGGAAGAGATCGCCAAGATCCTCAACCGTTCAGTGATGAAGGCCGAGCAAACTCCCGCACAGAGGGATGGCCCCGACTCTTCGATTCGGCAACCTAACGCCAGAGCTTCAGGTGGACAACCGGGAAAGAAAGGAAACACGGCAGCGGAGTCAAAAAGAGGGGGAGGATTTAGGGTCCTCGGCGCAGCCGCCGCCGCGAACGCCGGCAAGGGAAAGGGGCTGGTGGGCGACGCCGCCAGGGAGACTCTGGCGAAACGGTCGCCTTCAGGCTTCGGTTCCGCGGCCGCGCCCGCGAAGCACGCGCGTTTGGAGGGGATAAGGTTGGGGGCAAACTTAAATGAGACAGCTGCCGGGGAGTCACCGAGAAGCGAGGGTGCTATGGCCGCACTCAAGCGTGCGCGTGCCGCCGGACTAGGCGAGGACGAGGGGGGACGGAACGGAACGGAATCGAAAGGGACGGAAACGAAGCGGTCCAGAGCGGTCAGCGTAGAGGGGCCCCAGCTTGTTGAGATCAAGGACCGGTTTGCGAAACGGAATACAGGCAGCGAAGAAGAAGAACGGGGGGCATCCCCCGGTCAGAACGTGGCGGTAGAAGGCCCCGAGGAAAATGATTGTAAGGTAAAGACTGGTGTGGAGTCGGCTGGAAAAGGGACCCCGGAATCCAATGAGCGCGCTCGCGCGCGCTGGTTCGCGAAGCAGTTTTGGGACGAGAAGAAGCTGCACTTCGTGATCAGAACCGGGGTGGTGTTAGAGGGGCCGTTTTTAGGAAAAAGAGCGACTCGGCAGTCGGTCTACAGGGTGAGGTACGACGACGGTCGGGAGGAGACAACCGGGCTCCAAAAGGCGCAGCTTTTTGATGAGAACCCGTTCGAACAGGAAGCGGAAGGCCCACGGAAAGCGCATCGCAAGGGCGGAAACGGAAAGAAGGCGACAGCCGCCGCCCCGGCTGACGGTGACGGCGACGCTGTTATGGAGCAAGGGCACAGCGCGGGCGTCGAAGCGTTCGAAAAAGCGTCGGAAAAGGACGGAAAAGCAAGCGGCAACGGAAACGAAACCGGAGAGCGGAAGGGGAACGGAAACGGAAACGGATCCCTAGCGAGACCCTGGCGCGCCATCGAGGTGGGCTGGTTCTTGGAGCGCCTGGGCGCGCAGTACGGCGCGTCGGCGCAGGGTTTCCAGAAGGCGTGGCGCGACTATGAAGTGTCCGCTCTGCCGGACGGCGTCCGAATCGAGTACCGGCCCCGGGCGTCCGGCGACCGTACGGACAGGTACTACATCTATGAGTGGCGTGGGGATCCCTCTGAGCCCGCGCAGACGTTCCGAACAACAGCCTCGTCAAGCTTCAGCAGTTCTTCGACGAGAAGGCGGGCGGCGCGCCGGTCCGCGCGCTGTGCGCGAGTCGTGGGAGGCAAGGCACGACAGG